GAATTTTATGAGTTAAAATAATATATATTATGAGTTAGAATAATGTATTTTATGTGTTAGAATAATATACATTATGTATTATAATAATGTATTTTATGTGTTAAAATAATATACATTATGTGTTACAATAATGAAACTTCTGGAGTAAGATAATGTATTTTATAAGTTAGAATAATGTACATTATGCTTTAGAATAATATACATTATGAATTATAAAAATATATGCTGCAATAAGTCATGTGAAAAAAGATAATTACACAAAACGACGTCATTTTTAGATCGTGGTCCACACAGCAACAGCTGTGTGGATCACGACCTACGCAATAACTATTGGATTAAAAGCAATATTTGGTTTGTCAAAAAAAAAAGAGCAATATTTGATACTCCCTCAATCATATTTTAGTTGTAGTATATATATTTTTAATAATAGTCTATCATACAAACTTTAATATCCAAAGCATACTTCAAAATTAAATTCCGAACTTAAAGAGTTAAGAGATAGAAGATGCTTGCAATCATTGATGTTTTTTTTTTTTTTTTTTAATTATTAGGAAATGCACATATACATATGCTAACTAATTTAAAACAAGATAAGGCCAGGTAAGCTTTTCTTGTTCAATTTTCTTTGTTCCACGTTAATCATGCTATCCCACTTTTTGTAACCCTTTTTGGCCTTCAATTTGTTAACTCACTTTTTATATTTTTATTTTTCTTAAAAAATTTTCTTTCCACACACTATATAGTCGCTTTTGGACTGTTTTTATTATATTATTTTAATCAATTGCAATAAGGGCACTTTCAAGGGGACTCTCTTACCAAAACGACAACAATATACCTTAATGAGTTAATTTTATTTTTTGTCTTAAATTTATAGGTAATCATCTCTCTTTCTTTCTCTTTTTTTTTTTTCTTAAATTTATTTTTTATTTTTTATTTTTTATTTTTTTTAGAACAACTTCTTTGGTCTTAATATTATTGTGGCATGATTATTTTTGGACATCCATCAACAAAATCACTAAAATATCTTAATGTCATTAAATACATGAACATTTTCATCTTTTTATTTTTATACAAAGTAGATTAACCCACTATATATATATATATATATATATATAAAATATTTAATTGAATTGAATTTAAACAATTTTATTGGCGGAGGACAAAAAATAATTTCCTCCAACCAACCAAACGAGTGTAAGGATTTATCACCTCCTTTATTTGGTGCTTGGTTTAGCACCTCCTTAATCATGGATAAAACTAAAAACAAGCAAAGAAAGGGAAGTTTTAAAAGTGAAGATGGAATATATGTTAGTTTTAATTTCTCTTTCTACTTTTCTCTATTTGTTTCGGACTTTCTTAACATAAAGAGAATGAAGAGTCATTGCTTAAATTACAGGACCTACAATTATTCCTTATTATTTGTTATTCTTGATGTGCCATTTTCACCCTATCAATCTTCAATTCATCCCTACCCGTACACGGATGCACATATTATATAACATATACACACATTTATTTATGTGTGTGTATGATGAATAAGATGAGAACACACACTCAAGCGCGAACGTACACCATTAGAGGTGAGCAAATTATCTATTAATCACTGGAGAATCGATTTTAGATTTAGAACTGTTTAGTATTGTATAATATTTTGAAGAGTTAATGAACGATTTGGTCATTCAATTATTATCAAACTGTTAATGTAGTCGCTCAATCGCTTATTCATCGATTTCGTTCCCGAAAACAATTATTTTTAGTCGATTTAGTCCCTCAGGCCGTGCATGTAATTTTTGCCTCTACTTTTACTTTCAAGTGCAGCTACTTTCATCTACAAGTGCATTTAATTTTGCCCTGTTATCATTCACTGATCAGGTGCACCTACTTTCACCTACTACAAGTGCACATACTTTCACCTAGGTGCACCTATTTATAACTATATGTGCACCTAGTTATAACTATATGTGCACCTAGATCTAGACACGTGGCGCGTGTTGATTGGTTCACATTTTCGCTCCTGGGCGCGACATTCGCACCTGAACTCAACTCTCACTCTCTCTCTCTCTCTCTCTCTCTATATATATATATATATATATATATATATATATATATATATATATATATATATATATATAAAATATTTTTTAAAAAATTGAGGGTCCTGTGCAGTCTCCCTAGTCAGTATGGCCAGGGTCGACCCTGAACATGGATTTCAGATAGAACTTATGAGGTACAAAAAGTTGAAAAATTACTTAGATTGCAATGAGATAATTTAACAAAAGGAGAAAAAATTAGAAAAATATTTTAAAATTTCTCTTGAATCTATACTATTTTGATTATTACTGACTCTGATACAATAACTCAAACTCATGATCGTTCATTTAAGAGAGTAACTTTATAACATTTCACCATTGCCTTCTTGAACTTATACTATAGCTATACACGGCTCTAATACAGATTTTTAGTTGAAGTATCAAAATGTGTGAAGTCACCTTCAACACATATACCTAGGCAAGGGATACTTTTGCATTATTCCACAAAAATGAAACTTTATATAACTTTCCAGACTGTATTCCACGCATAACTTAACTTTGCACAATCCAATTATTGCTTGCCTGCATAGCTTCTCAATAATTGCATCAATAATATAGACTACATTCCCTTTTTAAAAAATTCTTTAATTTCTATCCGTTTTAATTTGTTCAATCAGTGAGAAACGTGACAAAAATATAATACTCTCTATCTATACGAATATACAAATTTTCAGCATCAACAAGATAGCATGGTCAAGAATCTTAAAAAGGCTAAAAAATGTCGTAAACAATTAGCGGTCAAATTTTCATATTGATTTAAAAGGTGAGAAATCATTTTTATCCGCGCGATGCACGGAATGAATTTGTTATAATATTTTAAGAAAATATCTGGATTGATATATAATTATATAAATTATAACATCAAATATTATATAGTGCAACTGAAAAGATGGTACCCGGGTTGGACTTCCATTTGGAAGATTATGAGTTCGAGCCTCAGTGGAGGTGTTATTGGTTCTTTGTGTTTCAGTAGGTTGAGAAAGTATATGAACAGATACTACAATGTAATATAGAGCCAGTAGCTTCAAAAAAAAAAAAATATAAATTATAACATCAAATATTATATAGTGCAACTGAAAAGATGGTTTGGATCAATTATGTTTTGTGATGTTAATTGCTTGAGTTCGACCAAATAATTATTGAATTAATAGCTAATGTGTAGATGTAAGCATCCGGTGCTGAAATTTTGAGGATATTTTATGTATCCGTGTTTAGGGTTTGTATAACTTGAGCGAATGTGCTATTTGAAAAAAATATATAATATCAACGATTCGAATTATACATTATTGAAAATCTATTTGTAGATGACATTGGTAGTAGTAACAAAATCTTGTCCATCCTCATCTAGAGCTAACACCTTCAGGCTATCATAATAGGTGACTTGGGAAAAAACCACGTACAAATTTCCTTTTTAAAAAAAAAAAATTTCTATCCCGTTTTGTTCAATCAGTGAGAAATGTCACTTTCAATGGCCGGCTTTAAAAAATTGGAGACCAATTGTAAAAAGTTTAATTGAAATTATGAAATAAAAAAAAATTGATTAATTATTCAGGTGTTAAACAAAAGAATCAACAACTTTAGAACTTCAGGTGTGTATCATATACATTTTCTTACAAGTTTTTAATCACTCTATATAAGTAATTTGGGGCTTAGATAGAATTTATGAGATACAAAAAGTTGATAAATTATTCAGGTTGTAAAAAGATAATTTAATAAGGGGAGAAAAAATTAAGAAAATATTTTAGAATTTTCTTCAACTTATTCTGTAGATATATGTTCTGAAAAATAATTTGACAAGAACAAAAATAGTGATCCACTTCTTTTTTTTTTTTTTTTTTTTTTTTTTTTTTTAAAAACTTTCCAGACTGTATTCATGCATAGCTTAATGTCTAATTGCATGCATGCATGCATAGCTTCTCAACAGCGACATGGCCTTAATTATTAAAATTAAACTTGGCTTAAACATTCTCAGTATTTAGCTTTACTAAAATGAGATGCAATATATAATGTACGTATTACGACAACAATTGGCTTAATGTCTTTTGTCCATGTCCCTCTTAAGCCTACGGATATATATTTGGCAAATTATATTATGCACCGCGGTGCATAATCGATTATACACCGCGCATCAAAACGATGTCGTTTTATTTAATGAAAAGAAACGGAATCTTCACAAGAAATAATTCTATTCTTCAGTTTCATTTTGTATACATTGCAGTTTCAGTTCAACACAACTACAGTTTCATTCCGATATAACTACAGTTTCATTCAATATTTATACACTCAAATATGTGAAAATGTTATTTAATTTTATTTTATATACACTATAGTTTCATTAAAACACAACTACATGACCATTTCAATATAATTACAGCTTCATTGTACAATATACACTCAAATATGTGAAATGTTATTTAGTTTCATTTTATATATACTATAGTTTCATTTCACCACAACTATAATATCATTTTGATATAACTGTAGTTTCATTTGAAAATATAAAAATAATACGTGAGACAGGGTCGATTTGAACACACTGTAATGTCACTCTGTTATAACTGTAGAAACGACGCCGTTTTAACGCGCGGTGCATAATCGATTATGCACCGCGGTCCACGATATAACGACTGTATATATTTAGTAGCTCTTCATTTCTTATTTGAGTTAATACCCAATTTAGTCCTCGACTATAGTGGTTTTACTCAATTTAGTCCTAAGTGACTTTTTGTACTCAATTAAGTCCCGAACTTTGATGATTTTACCCAATAAGATCCTCCGTTAATAATTCCGTTAGTTGATTGTTAAAAGCAAGGTTAATATGGTAATTTCTTCTCCCTCCTCCATTTTAGTCAAATTGTCTTCTTCATCTTCTTTTCTTCGACTGTAATTAAAAAAAAAAAAAAAAAAAAAAACCCTTAAAGCAGCAAGGATAATTGTGAAAAAGATAAGAGAAAGATAGATACATAGAGAATAATTGTGATGAAATTGTTTGGTTTTGAATTAAAGTGGTCAATCATAGCGACGCAGCTGCCGAGAAGTACAGACATTGATATCAAGAATTACTGGATCACAAAGCTGGAGAAAAAGCTACTAGGCAGCAAGCTACAACCGTCGATGCCGCCGCCTGCAGGTTTGTATTCTTTTCCGCAGCAAACAGTGCCATTTCCCACACATTATTATTCACTGCCCGGGTGATCTTCAACCACAGGAAAACCCCATTGCTGCTGCAAACACCACCTTTTCATCTGCTGCATCCATTTTCTCCGTGGCCGCCAGCAATTCCCAGCAGGGAATTAACAACTTTCCCATCGACCTAGCAGACGACCTATTCTATGGATATGATCAGACTCAAGAAAGCTATAGCTATTCAATGGATCTCCACCAAGAAATGGCTCCGCCCAACATTCTTCAAGGGCCAAGCAACCTTATTTAGATCATTAATATAATAATCTTTGTGTTTTTTTCAAAAATTAATGTTAAACTACTAGTTCTTCATTAGCTAGGTTTCACTGAAACTGGAAATTAAATAATGTCTCTGTGTTGCACTATATATCACTTTCATCATCAAATCATTCATGCATGTAAGTTCCATTCCTGAGATATATGGAATCTTTATATTATCAACATCATTCACAATTATTCTCTATGTATCTATCTTTCTCTTATCTTTTTCACAATTATTCTTGCTTCTTTTAAGTTTTTTTTTTTTTTTTTTTTTTTTTTTAAATTAAAATTACAGTCGAAGGAAAGAAGATGAAAAAGAAATGAGGAAGAAGACAATTTGACTAAAAGGGGAGAGGGAGAAGAAATTATCATATTAACCCTACTTTTAACAATCAACTAATGGAATTATTAACGGAGGATCTAATTGGATAAAATCAGCAAAGTCCGGGACTTAGTTGAGTACAAAAAGTCATTTAAGAATAAATTGAGTAAAACTACTATAGTTGAGGACTAAATTGGGTATTAACTCTTTCTTATTTTCTTCTAAATGCTTACTGCCTTTAGTACGTTCATGTCCCTCTTAGGCCTGTGGATACTACTTTAATTTTGCTGAAAAAGAGAGAATTTGTTAGGAACAAGTGTATATAGATTTTGATGATACCAAACTGCCTTAGGATGTAAATCCCTATTTTTTGGTTTAATAGAAAGTCTCATATGACATAGGCATGAAATGTTAAACCATGCACAAGACTAGTAGAATAGGTCTACATGAAGATTCGAAGATGATCGAAAGATGCTTGCAAACGAAAGAAGGACTAAAGCAAGTCTCAGATGGTCTGCTTCGAGAAAAGGGACTTTCGTTCAAGAAGAAAGGACGAAAGATGAGGACAATCTTTCGGTCCTAATCATACAAGTCAAGGACAGACTTGTTAAAAGACAACTCTCATTAATGGAAACAATGAGAATGTTGTCTATCAATCAGTTGGGCAAATCGTTCGGACAAAAGGTGTCCTAGGAATGATTTTCACTAAAGACAAGAAGCATTAAAAGACTTGTACTATCTTGTCAGTGAACAATGACAAAAGCCATAATGCTTTTTGCTCCAACGGCTACACAATACAAATGAATTTAATGCCCATTGCCCACTGAGTAATACACACAGGGTTATTAGGTTTGAAATTTTCATCTCCCTCCAACGGATGGATTTTTCCACCTATAAACACCCCTCTTCACCATTGAAGAAGGTGCTGGTTAACTCACTCTCTCAATCTAAGAAAAGCATTTTCAAAGTAGCCCCATCTCCTTAGCTTTTCATAACCAGTGTTAGTTGTGAAGTTTTTCAAAAGCATATCCTTCCTCATACTTCACAAACTGAAGCTGTCTAGCTCTTTCATCAAGTGAAGATCTATCCAGACATCAAGACAAGCTTCAATCTGTTGGAGAAACACCAAATCTCTTTTCCAACATCTCAACTCAGGAGGTATGTAGTTGATAGAGGCGGAGTAAACTCTAGGAGTTGAAAAACCTGTCAAGTGGTTGTCCGGCTTAGTGATCAAGGAAGCCAGCTTGAAGTAGTTTATACTAGGAGTGGTAGTGCAAACCCTTTCACAAGTTGTGAAAGAAGAGTGGAGTAGGCACAATTGGCCGAACCACTAAAAAATCTCTGTCTCTCTCTTTATTTTTATCGCGTTTACTTTCGTGCTCAGCATATCATATCATATCGACCAAACACATCATCTTTATAAACACGAAAGAAGTGCAAAGAAAACTTAAATTTGAACCAATATTTTCGCTGCACACATCTTCGAAAGGAGAATAATCAAAAAGAATCGATTAGAGTCTATTCACACCCCCTCTAGACTCTCTCTGACCCTACCAGGACCAATAAGTGGTATCAGAGTGGTTACCTTGTACGGTAAACGTTTTGCGTTACTGCCTGGTAGATCCCTTTTTGCGAAAAATTTGCATAAATACAACTGTCATTTTTCATCTTTGCACAAGTTTTCTTAATGAAAAATGGAAAGAGATCATTCTAACCGTTCAAGGCCTCTTGCCTTTAATCTGTCAAAGTTTGATGTCTGGAAAGTGAGAATGCAGGCACATGTTTCGGCTATTCATGACGAAATGTGGGATGTGATAAGTGAAGGTCCCATCGTTGTTATGATGGTAAACACTCAGGCAGCTGTACAAGGAGCAGATGCAGAAACCATGATACCAAAGCCGAAATCTCAACTTACTTCAGATGAGAAGACTCGGGCCAATCTCGACAATGTTGCACGAGATATTCTCTATAAGTCTCTGGACGATTCGCTGTTCCCAAGAGTACGAAAGTGCACAACAGCAAAGCAAATCTGGGATACTCATGAGTTTAGGAGAAGGTGACGAACAAGAGAAAGATAACAAGCTCACCGTGGCTATGAAAAAGTTTGAGGATTTCAAGATGATGCCAAATGAAGTCAACACCGATATGGAGCTTAGATTCACAAAACTCATGGGCGATCTTTCGGATCTTGGAAAGGAGCTAACTGAAAAGGAGAAGAACTTAAAAATTCTTCGAGGGCTTCCAAAATCTTGGGACATGAAAGTTACAGCCATGAGAGATCATAGAGACATGAAGACAACCAGCACGAGTAAGATCTTCAGCGATCTCAAAGCATATGAATTCGAGCATAAGCCAAGGGAATCAGAAGAACCCGAAACAAGGAATATAGCCTTGGTGGCCAATCAACAAGCATCAACATCAAACAGGTCAAACTCTAACTCTTGTGAATTTTTATCTGACGAACAATATGCTTTGTTTGTGCGAAAAATGAAAAGGTTCATCAGGAAGAATAACTTTCAAGACTATCAAAGATCACCCAACCGAAGGCAATACGAAAGATCTCCTCAATCAACAAAACAAGAGACAATGGATTCGCAGATGTTGTGCTATAACTGCCGAAAGCCAGGGCACATTAAGGCGGATTATCATCATCCAATAGTAAGCAAGCATCAGGACCATAATGCAAATAAAAACTCACCAAGCGAAGTGATAAACCAGAATCATCAACATCTAGACATGAAAGAAGAAGAAAGGCAATGATGGTCAATGAGCCAACTGAGGAAGCACAACCCGAATCAAGCACCTCAAGCTCAAGCTCAGAAAGTGAGAGTTTAGAAGAAGAAAAAGGTCTTCTATGCTTATTCAGTCAGAAAGAAGAAACAAATGACCTTTGCCTAGTAGCTGATAATGACAAGGTAAACTCTCAAACCTCCTCTTCATGTCAAATAGAATACAGTTCTGATGGTGAAAGAAATCCAAATGAAACCATCTTTGAGATGATGATGGATTTCAAAGTAATCAAAAGCACATACTCTAAGTTAAAGGAAGAGAACTCTCGACTATTGATCAGCTACGATGACTAAGGCGAGTTAGAATTGATAACATAAAGCTAGCCATCGTAAAAGATCAGCTCGAAAAACAAGTTCTTCTTCTTAAAGAGCAGTGTACAGAAAGAGAGTTGCGGGAGCAACAATTGCGTGAGGTTCTTGATTCGTTCAATAATTTGTCCAACTTGATGGACCGAATGGTGAATGGATCAAAACTGCCTAGGGAAAGAACTAGAATTGGTTATGACCTCAGCTCCCCTTCACATGTCTTATTGAACAAATCCACAAACGTCTACTCTCGTGAAAGTTTCAAATCTCCGTTTGTTCAAGGCCCTACTCAAATGTCTAAACCGATGAAGGAGATTAACAATCGTGATCAACCACAATCGACAAGCTTATCGAAAGGAAAGGCTGTACAACGCATTGTGGAACCACGAAATGGGAATAACTTCAAAGGCAAACATAGGCATGATACTAATGTCAAAAGGAATGGACCGAAAGATGATAGATCTAATCTATACCATCAAAAAGGTCAGCCTACAAGCTAGGAATAACCAATCGAGGGTAAAAACAAATGTTAATTAGAGGCAAAATCGTTCTAAGCACCCACGAAAGGATCCTCTACGAGGAAACCCGAAAGGAGAACGTAACAGACATGCCAAGAGGTCACTTAGAAGACCAATGACAAGAAATGGATGGAGTAGACCATCCGAAGATGATTGGCTTGTTTATCCCGAACCCTTGTCAAAAGTGCAATTTGAGAAAATTCATCAGCATAAACAAACCAATTATTCTAAGCAGTATCGCAATCCACCCGGTGACTATTTTCAAAGTCGATACAAAGCTAAATCTTTTGCCAAAATCTATTATGATTATCAAGTTTTTAATGGATACAAAGGATCGAGGATGAGTCGAGTTAACTCTAGGTTCGTATGGATCCCAAAACTGACCACTAACCCTCAAGGACCCGAAACCGAAGGGGTACCTAAAGTTACATAATTTTGATTTCAGGAAAAATAGGTCATATGGTATGTCGACAGTGGATGCTCAAGACATATGACCGGAGACAAATCAAACTTGAGTAATTATAAAGAAATTGACGGTCCAAAAGTTATTTTTGGGGGAGAATTGAATCAAGTGGAAAGACGAAAGGAGTTGGAGATATCATCAGAAATGGAATTACTATTAGATGAGTCTCTCATGTTGAAGGACTCAAGTTCAACCTACTAAGTACAAGCCAATTCTGTGATAAAGGCTACAAAGTAGAATTCTCAAAGATATATGCAAAGTCATCAGCACTGAAGATAGTGATATTGTTATCACGGCAAAACGAAAGAAAAATATGTACGTAGTGGCCTGGGAACTTTCTAAAACTAATGTTTGTCTTGTTGCTACTAGTAATGCAGATTTAAGCCTAAAATGGCACAACAAGATGAGTCATCTAAACCTTAAAACTATCAACAAGGTGTCAAAGAAAGATCTAGTGGAAGGCTTACCAAAAGTTAGCTACGTTAAAGACAGAATTTGCGATGCATGTCAGAAAGGAAAGCAAATCAAGGCATCTTTCAAGTCAAAATCATCTGACACCAACTCTCGTCCTTTATGTTTGCTACACATGGATCTATTCGGTCCAGTTGATCCTGCAAGTCTGAGTGGACGAAAGTATTCTCTCGTCGTTGTAGACGACCACTCAAGATATACCCGGACGCACTTCTTAAGGAAGAAGAATGAGACTGAGAAAGTCTTACCAGACTTATTAAGATAATTGCAAAACGAAAAGGGTCTCAGCATAATAAGGATCAGATCAGACCAGGGGACAGAATTTG